AATCAGAGGTTTTTACCTCCTGACTTAAGAGAATGGCTTTGCATTCATCATCAAAAAACATCAAGATCTGTCTTAAAGTACAATTCTGTCTGAGATAAGATAATATCCATATGCCTACAAGGAACACCAGTTAATACCAAGATTATTCAAATTTATGCACCAACCACTAAAGTCAGTGATGATGAAGTTAAAGAATTCTACCAACTTCTTCAGTCTGAAATTGATCAAACATGTAATCAAGATATATTGACCCTCTGGCTCTAACCCTTACCCACAGACACGACTGGCAGCTCAGCTCCCGGAGATTCATACAAGTGCTAGATGCAGGAACCTGTATTTACGTAAGAACTCAGGCCTCACTGGAGACATTCAAGAAAAGCTTGGACAACCAATTCTAGAAAAGATAAACTCATGCATGAGAAGAGGTGACTAATAACCATACCAAAAGAATATGGCTGCATAAATGCAAGAATCTGATTAAGGAATTTCTGGTGTGGCGCTGTGGGTTAATGCGCCAGACTGCAAAGCTGTTTGAACTGCAAGGTTGGCAATTCAAGCTCACCGGCAGCTCCTTGGAAACCCTATACAGGGTTGCTGTGGGTTGGAATCGACTCGATGGCACTTAACAACAACAACAACAAACTTACATAAACCTGCTTTTTGGACTGTGTTAAAGACTTCACAATAAGAGAAGTAAAACCATAAGAGACCACCTGCTCAGAGCATTGTTTACAGAAGTAAGTTTAATTGACACAAAGAATATCCATGAGATTTCAGGAATAACATGGTCAGCAGAATGAATCTCTGGCAGCCAAAGCAGGACTCTGTGGCCAGCCATGATAGACAAGCTGGACTTTTGATGTAATATTGCTAACAGCTATTGCACTGGGAATGAGGATTCATATGATAGAATCTCATAAAAGCAAAAGTCACCAGGCTAAACCATCTGACAAATGGACACTACTAGAGAAAAAAAAATTCTGTGTACCAGGAATAATCAAATAGGTCTTATTCAATGAAAATAAGGTGTGACATTTGTTGAGGCCTTAAGTTTCAGCAGCTTGGTCACTTGATTAGAACAATAAACCATTATTTCTTCAATTGTGACTATTAATTTTAAAGCAATCATGTATGTATGAGATAGAAAAGAATTTTATTACTAAAAGTAAAATAAATGTAAGTATCACTGAACAGTTGTTTATACTATATAATACCATAATATTCTGACTGGACTGTGGATACATTGAACTGTTTTTCAATCAGAATCATCCTCCATGTATTCCTTTTCATTCATGTCTGCCTCAAATTTCTGGTAAATACATAAAAGTTACTTACTACTAAAAAAAAAAAAAAAAAGATATATTGATAATTACTGGTGATTGGAATGAAAAGGTTGGAAACAAAGCGGAAGGATCAGTAGTTGGAAAATATGACCTTGGTAATAGAAACAATACTGGAGATTGAATGATAAAAATTTTCAAGACCAATGACTCCTTCATTGCAAATACTTTCTTAGAATAACATAAAAAATGACTGTGTGCATGGACCTCACCAGACAGAATACACAGAAATTAAATTGACTATATCTGTGGAAAGAGATGGTGGGAAAGCTTCATATCATCAGCCAAAACAAGGCCAAGGGAAGACTGTGGAACAGACCATCAATTGTTCATATGAAAGTTCAGGCTGAAGCTGAAGAAAATTTAAACAAATCTACAAGAGCTAAAATATGACCTTGAACATATCCAACCTGAATTTAGAGATCATGTGAAGAACAGATTTGATGCACTAGACACGAAAAACCAAAGACCAAAGAGTTGTGGGATGACATCAAGAACATCATACAGGAAGAAAAGAAAGGGTCACTAAGAAGACAAGATAGAAGGAAAAGAACAAAATGGATGTCGGAAGAAACTGAAACTTGTTCTTCAGTGTGGAGATACTGAAGCAAATGAAAGAAATGAGGAGGCTAAAGAGGTAAACAGAAAAGTTCAAAGGTCAGCTTGAGAAGACAAAGTCAAATATTCTAAAGGAAAGACCATGCTTAGCATTTCTCAAACTGAAGGAGCTAAAGAAAAAATTCAAGCCTCAACTTGAAATATTGAAGGATTCTAGGGGGAAATTTTGAACGATGCAGAAAGCATCCAAAGAAGATGGAATACACAGAGTCACTGTACCAAAAAGAAGTGATCAGTGTTCAACAATTGTAAGAGGTAGCATAAAATCAGGAGCCTGTGATATGAAGAAAGAAGTCCAAGGAGCATAGAAGACACTGGCAAAAAACAAGACCCTGCAAATTGATGAAATACAAATTGTTCAACAAACTGATGAGGCACTGGAGGCACTCACTCATCTATGCCAAGAAATTTGGAGACAACTACCTGGCGAATTGACTGGAAGAGATCCATATTTGTGCTCATTCCAAAGAGATTATCCAACAGAATGTGGAAATCATCAGACAATATCATCAATATCTCATGAAAGTAAAATTTTGCTAAAGATAATACAAAAACGGCTGCAACCATACATTGATAAAGAACTTTCAGAGGTTTAAGCTGGGTTCAGAAGAGGACATAGAATGAGGGATATCATTGATGATGTCAATTGGATCTTGGCTAAAAGCAGAGAATACCAGAAAGATGTTTACCTGAGCTTTTTGACTACACAAAGGCTTTCAGTTGCATGGATCATGACAAGCTATGGACAACACTGAAGAGAATGAGTATTCCAGAACACTAAATTGTGCTCATGAGGAACCTGTACATAGACTAAGAGGCAGTTCAAACAGAGCAAGGGAACACCGAATGGTTTAAAGTTAAGAAAGGTATATGCCAGGGTTGTATTCTTTCACCATATTTATTCAGTCTGTATGCTGAGCAAATAATGCAAGAAGCTGCATTATATGAAGAAAAATTTGGCATCAGGATTGGAGGAAGACTCATTAACAACTTGCGACATGCAGATGATACAACCTTGTTCGCTGAAAGTGAAGAGAACTTAAAATAAGATCGAAGACCACAGCCTTCCATATGGGTTGCACCTCAGTGTAAACAAACAAACAAAAAACCCTCACAACTAACAAATAAACAACATTCATATAAATGGAGAAAATATTGAAGTTGTCTAAGACTTCATTTTGCTTGGGTTAACCATCAACACTCATGGAATTAGCAGTTAAGAAATCAAATGACATAGTGCATGAGGCAAATCTGCATGAGCAAAGATGTCAGCTTGAGGACTAAGGTGCACCTGACCCAAACCATGGTATTTTCAATAACTTCATATGCCTGCGAAAATTGGACAGTAAGGAGAATCATAGAAGAAATGATGCTTTTGAGTTATGGTGTTGGAGAAGAGTATTAAAAGTACCATGGAACTGCTGCCTAAAGAATAAACAGATCTATGTTGGAAGAAGTGCAACCAGAGTGCTCCTTGGAAGTCAGGATGGCCAGACTTTGTCTCTCATACTTCAGGCCTATGTTAGGAGGGGACTAGTCCCTGGAGAAGGAAATCATTAGGTAAAGTGGAGGGTTGGAGAACAAGAGGAAGACCCCCAATGAGATGGTATGGCAAAGTGGCAGCCACTGCTCCAGCGTAGCAACGATTTTGAGGTGAGTGCAGGACCAGGCAGTATTTCATTCTATTGCACATAGGGTTGCTTTGAGTTGGTACCAACTTGATGGCACCTAACAAAAATAGCAAAAGCAGTAGTAGTGAGTTTGCCAACCAGCACAAATTTAGTTAAGATTTTATTCTGATTCTTGGTTTGTTATAGGGTAGTGAAAAACTTTTGGGGATGTTGGAAGACTCAGAGCACAGAAAAACTGATGACACTTAAAACCATCCTGAGGTATTCAGTGCAGGGCTGAGTTGCTGTTTTTGCTTACATGATGCCCAAGTTCTACTGTGAGCTTCACCTCCTAATGAAACCTGTGGTAGGATTCTTTCTAAGAATCCTGGAATGATAGGATCTCTCATAGTTTTCAGGCTCTGAGTCAAACTTCTAGTGACTTCAAAGGAATGCTTTAGAGAGAAGAATGGTGTAGCTTTTAGCAGGCATTCCTCCATATATAAACATTGGTTTCATTATTTCACTAAAGTATATGCAAATATAACATTTAGATAATAAAATGTCAGAGAAATTGTGCTACTTACCATTTCTTCTAAGCCTTTTATGTTTTCTCTACAGCTGTATCTCTCCTTAGTAACGTCTAGTCCATTAGGGCCATTAGATGCTCTTTGCTTCTTCTACTTGATGACTTCCTTGTCATGAAGAAGCATGCAAATCTTTGTCTCTCAGTCTCCCCTTCCCAGCCTCCACCTCACAAGCAATCACCACCATTGCTTTATTCTTTCTCCCTTTTCCAGTGAGACAATTTAAATATAGCAGGGCCCAGCTATATTTGCTAAGTGCTGTCAAGTCGGTTGTTGTTGTTAAGTGCAGTCAAGTTGATTCTGACTTATAGAGTTTCCAAGGTGAATTTGAACCATTGACATTGCAGTTCAAACCGACCTTGAGGTCCAGTGCTTATCCTATAGGTGTCTCTTTATCAGAAAATCCCTTCTTCAAGCTAAATAAGCCAAATGATGGAAAGAGAAGCTGACTTCACTCATTTGTAAAAGGTTAGGCTGTCTATTGTGCCTCAGAGAGGACTCAGCATTTGCTGCACAGTAAAGAAGCAGTTGGAACTCTCTTAGAAAAAGTTTTCCACTCTTTTTGTTAGTGGTACCATGAACGTTTTTCTAGGGCTTTAACCCCTGGTGTTAAATAGAACTGGTGTGATGCTGTAGAAAGAGCGCTGGGCTGCTAACTGAAAGGCTAGCAGTTCAAAGTCACTCTGGGAAACCCTGTGCCAGACCTGTACTCAACAGCACACAACAACAACAACAGTTGGATAGGAGGTTAGGCTAGGTGACTGTGAAGGTCCATTTCCATCTAATTTCAAATGTCTGAGTGTTTTCTGTGATTCTAAGAGCTGATGCCTCACTGTTTTACTTAGGGCCAGACACCAAATTAATGCAGAACAGTGGAAAGTCCACCTTTAAACGGACACGCATAGACCATCTCATGAATGTCCTTGTGATCTGGGTAAGTTAAAGATTTGTTTCTCAGTTTCGCTACAAGCATACATACTTCCCTTAAATTGAGACTTGCAAAAACTGAATTCTAATTTAAAAGTCTCAAGCAGTTTCAGAATCTGACAGAAGCCAATTTGCCAGTGAATTTCTAATTTACTGTCTGTTTTAGAAGATAGTCACAATATAAGCTTTTTTCCTTTGGTTAGTGGTACCAGAATGGACCATGGATCTACCTGTAAAATTAAGACACATTTTTATTTATTCATAGCCAGTTTTATGCATAACTATCCTAATGAATCCTTATTTAGACTAATTAGAGGAGTCCTGGTGTGATGCTGTGGGTTAATGCACTGGACTGCAAAGTCTGTTTGAACAAAAAGGTTCAAGCTCACCAGCCACTCCTCAGAAATCCTACACAGGGTTGCCATGAGTCAGAACCTACTCGATGGCACTTACCAATAACAACAACAACAGACTAATTAGAACACCTTATGTGACACTGTGGGCTAATGCGTCAGACTGCAAAGTCATTTGAACTGCAAGGTTGGTGGTTCAAGCTCACCAGCTGCTCCTTGGAAACCCTATACAGACTCAATGGCACTTAACAACAACAACAACAACATGTAGCCTAATATTCCAACAGAAAATAAGGAAACACCGAATGGTTTAAAATTAGGAAAGGTGTGCACCAGGGTTGTATTCTTTCACTATACTTATTCAATCTGTAAACTGAGCAAATAATCCGAGAAGCTGGATAATTTGAAGAAAAACATGTCATCAGGATTGGAGGAAGACTCATTAATAACCTGCAATGTGCATATGATACAACCTTGTTTGCTGAAAGCAAAGAGGACTTAAAATACTTATTGATGAAAGTCAAAGACCACAGCCTTTGTTATGGGTAGCACCTCAATGTAAAAAAAACAAAAATCCTCACCTATGGATCAATAAACAACATCCATATAAATGAAGAAAAGATTGAAGTTGTTAAAGACTTCATTTTGCTCGGATCTACCATCAACTCTCATGGAATTAGCAGTTAAGAAATCAAACGACGTATTGCATTAGGCAATTCTGCTGCACAAGACCTCTTTAAAGTGTTCAGGAAAAAAGATGTCAGTTTGAGAACTAAGGTGTGTCTGACCCAAGCCATGGTATTTTCAAAAGCCTCATATGCATGTGAAAGTCGGACAGTAAATAAGGAAGACCATGGAAAAATTGATGCTTTTGAGCTATGGTGTTGAAGGAGAATATTAAAAGTACCATGGGTTGACAAAAGAACAAATCAGTCTATGTTGGAAGAAATACACCCAGAATGCTCCTTGGAAGCTAGGCAGGATAGCCAAACTTTGTCTCTCATACTTCAGACATATTATCAGGAGCACCAGACCCTGGAGAAGGATATCATGTTTGGTAAAGTGGAGAGTCAGATAAAAAGAGGAAGACCCCCAACAAGATGGATTGGTACAGTGGCAGCAGTGGGCTCAAACATAGCAATGATTGTGAGATTGGTGTAGGACCAGACAGTATTTCATTCTGTTGTGCATGGGGTCACTTTGAGTCGGTACTGACTCAGTGGCACCTAATAACAATGTAAACTAAGGAATCCTGCTGTGGCACTGTAACATAAGACTGGACTGCTAACCACAAGGTCAGTAGTTCAAATACACCAGCTGCGTCTCAGAAACCCTGTACAGGGTCACTATGAGTTGGAATGACTTGATGGCATTTTACAACAACAACAGTGTAATCTAATGATTTTCAAACCATATTTCCTTAGAGGAGTCTTCAGGTATGTTTCAAGAATAGGAAAAAATCAGTAGATTTTGTTCTGCCCTTCCTAGTCTATATTTCCTTCTTTGGAAAGAACATTATCTGTTCTATAAGATTTCAGTTGGAAAACTAAAGGGTTATAAGTGAATAGACAACCCTCACAATGGGAGAAAATATTTTCAAATCATATATCTGAAAAGAATTTGTATCTAGAAAACCAACTCTTATAACTTAAACTCTGTAACTTTAAAATCCAATTTAAAATGATCAATGGACCTGAATAGACTTTACTCTAGAGAAGATATACAGATGGCTAATGAGCACATGAAAAAATGCTCAGCATCATTAATCATCAAGAAAATCCAAATCAAAACCACATTGTGAGACCACTTCACACACACTAACATGACTATAATCAAAATGTCAGGCAAGAACTAGTATTGGAGAGGAACCAGGATGGTGGATTGCATCGTTATGCTGCTCAGACCATCTGCAACAAAGATAAGGGAGACCACACAAAGCACCGTAGATGGTAATTCTGGAGCCTTGAACTTCAGAGGAAAGGTTGCAAAAGTGGATTGAATACTTACTAGGAGGAGAAACTGAACAGGGGTAGTGAAGGAGGGAGACAGACTGGTGAAGGATTTCCCAGCCAGACATGGTAAAGTCATTTTGAACTTTTTCCAGCAGCATCAGTTTTTGTTTTTAAGCACAGTTAAGTCGGTTCCAACTCATAATAACCATGTATAGAGTTTCTGAGGAGTAGCTGGTGAGCATGAACTGCCAACCTTCTGGTTCAAATCAACTTTGCAGTCTAGCACATCAATCTGCAGCACCACACGAGGAATCATAGCAGCTTCAGAGACAGAAGCAACTCGGCAATGCAGATTCATGCTGGGGACTGGCAATGGGAAAGGTGTGTTTCTTTCTTGTTCCCTACACTCCCCTGGTGACTGAAGGAGTGGTCAACCTCCACCCTTATCCACTCCCAGAAATTCACAGCCTCAAGGTTGTGGACCACACCAGAGTGAGGTAAACTTTGATGGTGCCCCTTGGCATCTGGATTTGACAGACAGAACCCACAGTGCACCCTGAAGTAGCCTAGCCCCTGTGAGCATTTGGTCTAGCCAGACAACACCTGGGCCTACAGGACTCTATTTAAGGCTGGGAACTCACTGTGAAGTTTTCTTCTCTCTAGGTCCAGCACCTGCATTTCCTTTATTTTTCTCTTTTTCTCCTTTCGTTGGTTTTTGTTGTTATTTATTCTTTTTTTCCTTCTTCACCTCTTTTCCTTCCCATAACTTTTTAATCTTTTCTGCCTCTGCTTTCATTTTTTCCTTCTGTTCTTCTCTTTCTCTTTTCCCAGCTCTTCCTCTTTTTTCTGATTTTTTTTTTCTCTTGATCTTTCTTTACCATTCTCTAGTCTCCACAATGCCCTGGAGACAACAGACAATTTAATTCACATGAAAAAACAGGAGAGATTGGCTCAAACAAATGGCCAAGATACAGAGACAGAAAATATTTCTGAGGGGAAAAGGGTAATAGAACTAACTGAAAAAGAATTTTTTAAAATGTGAATTGTTGTCATTGTTGTTAAAGTGCTGTCAAAGGATTGATAGAAAGATTGAGGAAAGCAAAGAAAACACAATAGAAACTTAATAGTAATAATAATAATAATAAACACTACAAGAATAAAAAGACAAAATGAATGCAAATTTTGAAATAGTACAAAACCTGCAATTAGAAATCCAGAAATGGACAATACATTGAAAGGGCAAAAGAGTGAGTGCAAAGCAGTGGAAGCCTGAATTAGTGAGCTTAAAGATAAATCTCTGAATACTACTATGCCAAAAGAACAATCAGAAAAAAGAATGAAAAAATCTGAAGAAAGACTAAGAGTTATGTGGGATAACATGAAAAGGAACAATTTACAGGTCATCAGAATTCCTGAACAGGAAGAGAAGCACAGAGAAAATTGTCCAAGAGTTGTTGGAAGAAAACTTCCTTAACATCATAAAAGAAGAAAAGATAAGCACACAAAAAGCTGAACAAACCTCAAACAGAATATATCCCCAAAGAAAAACACCAAGACATATCATAATCAACCTTTCCAAAATCAAAGACAAGTTAAGAATCCTAAGAGCAGCTTGGGAAAAACAAAAACTTACCTACAGGAGAACCAGTAAGACTAATCTCTGATTTCTCAGGAGAAACCAGGTAGGCACAAAGGCTGATAAAGGATGATATATTTAAAACTCTGAAAGAAACAAATTGCCAACCAAGAATCATATGCCCAGCAAAACTGTCTCTCAAATATGATGGTGAAATTATGATGTTTCCTGATAAACAATTGGGTCTTATCCTTGTTCTTTTAGTTTGTGTGTTTGAAATAAAAGGTGCATGTACTATCCAACTACCTGTGGCAGAATGCATGCGTAGGCCAAGCTATTGATATCTCTGGTGTTACAGACAGAAGGCCGAAGACACCAAGATAGCTCTGTTCCCATTTATTCTGAAATTTCAAGTGTGTTTCTGAAAACTGACCTCACTGATTTGAAAGGATTAATGAAATTGACAAACCATTGACAAATCTAGTAAGAGAAAAGAAGGGGAAAATACAAATAAGAAAATATGTGGATGACATCACAGCAGAATCAATGGAAACAAAAAGGATAATAACAGAACATTATGAAAAATTGTACTTCAACAAATTTGAAAATCTAGAAGAAATTAACAAATTTCTAGAAACACATAACCTACCTAAACTATCACAGACTAAAGTAGAAAACTTGAACATACTTATGCCAAGAGAAGAAATTGGTTAAGTCATTAAAAAACTCACACACACACAAAAAGCCCCGGCCCAGATGAGTTTACTGATGAATTCTACTAAACATTCTCAGAGAGGAGCTGACTCCAATTCTACTCAAACTATTCCAGAATATAGAAATTAGGGAAACTTCTCAAATTCATTTTTTTTATAAAGCAAGCATAACTCTGATACGAAAAATAGGCAAAGACATCAGTACAAAAGAAAATTATAGACCAATATCCTTCATGAACATAGATGTAAAAATTCTCAATGAACCCAACAATATGTCATAAAAGTAATACATCATGACCATGTGGGATTCATAACAGGTACGCAGAGATGATTTAATATTAGAAAAACATCACTATAACCCACCATATAAATAAACCAAAAGGAACAAATCACATGACTGTATCAATTGATAC